TGGGCATTTGGGATAAGTAGATTAGAAATAAAAATAAAATCTTACAAACAGAAGAACTAGACACTAAATTTGACTTACATAACTCTACTACCTTACCTTCTCCTGCTACCCCAGATTTCCAGCAGAAATAAACAGGCAAGATCCACAGCTCTCAAAAGCAGCAGGGAAAATGCCTGATAGAGTGGGGCCAGGGGGCCCTCCTGGTGTGTCCACCACACACAGCAGGATTGCTTTTCTGCCCCACTGGGGTGTTCCATTTGATTTGAGAACATTTGTGAGTCCTGGTTCAAAACATTATTGCTGGATCCTTTCCCATGGTGTGGTCAGTGAGTCGCGGTTAGAAATTCACCAGGCTCTCTGGCCACCGCAGACTCCTCCAACCACAGAGACACGTGCTGAGGTCTAACTAGGAAAGGCCTGGAGGAGAGGGGTGAATCTTGGATACTGACATGCCTGACTTTTTCCTTGCTTTCAGAAATGTTCCCACTGCCAGGAGGCAGGTGCCACCTTGGGCTGCTACAACAAAGGCTGCTCCTTCCGATACCATTACCCGTGTGCCATTGACGCAGGTAAGATGGAACCACAGACCCACAGTTCTTTTAGTCTCTCTCAACCCTGATACATGTGTCAATTGTAAAGGCATGAAGAGAGTATAATGCAAAGGAGTAAATGGCATATTATTTTTAGTACGTTTCATTCATCTAATTCACATCATTCAGATATTTAAGTGTACAAGTCAGTGGTTTTCCCTGTAGTCATAGTTGTGCAGCCATCACCACAGTAGATTTTAGAACATTTTCATCATCTTGTGAAAAACTCCTATTAGCAGCCACTCCCTCCCTTCCCTGCCCCCAGACAGCCCCTGGCAACCACTCATCTGCTTTCTTTCTCGATAGGTTTGCCCATTCTGGACATTACACATAAATGTAATCATGTAATATGAGCCATAAGGCTCATCCATGTTGCAGCATGCTTCAGGATGTCATTTATATTAGTAAATGATATTTTATTATAAAAGATATACCATGTTTTATTTATCCATTTATCAGTTGATGGAATTTGGGTTATTTTCACTTACTGACTTATGAATAGTGCTGCTATAGAACATTTGCATGAAGGTCTTTGTATGGACATGTGTCTTTAGTTCTCTTGGGAGTATACACCTAGAAGTAGAATTGCTAGTCATGTAGTGCTCTGTGTCTAACCTTTGAGGAACTGCCAGGCTACTTTCCTGGCTACTGCCAGGCTGCCACACTTTATACTCACATACTCACAGCAATGTATGAGCGTTCAGATTTCTCCAGATCCTCATTGGAGCTTGTTACTGTCTTTTTTTTTTTTTTTTTTTTTTTTTTACTCTGCCATCCTGGTGAGTGTAAAGTAGTATCTCACTGTGGTTTTAATTTGTATTTTCCCATAGTTGATGTTGAACATCTTTTCATGTGTTTATTTGGCCATTTGTATATCTTCTCTGAAGAAATGTTTATTCAAATATTTTGTACATTGTCAAGTTTGGTTGTCTTTTTGTTGAGTTTTAAAAATTATTTGTACTTCTGGATACAAGTCTGGATACTCATGATTTGCAAATATTTCACTTTTATAGTTGTTTTTGTTTGTTTTTGAGAGGGTTTTGCTGTAGGGCGCATGCACTCACCAGAAAGAGAGAAACAGAGATAGAAAGCGAGAAATCACCCCCTCCGGAGGGGGGTATGGCCATGCCACAATCTCTTCTCCTCCAGTCTCCTCTTGGAATCTTGGGCACGCATGTACATGTGCCTGGTGTGAATTTAAGCCACCAGGTCCAGGACCCAAACTGCGGTCAACTACATGGGAGTTCAGCAACATAGGGCTTGCAAACTGCTGGTCCCGGTTGTTTATATTTTCAGGAAGGGTCTCACTATGCTGCAATCCTCCTGTCTCGGCCTCCCAGATAGCTGGAACTACAGGCACATACCACCATACCCTGCTTTTAGGTGGACAAGGAATCAGACCTGGGCCTCCATGTGGTCTCAGCCTGTTGAGTAGCGGTGTCCAACACACACTACCATGACTGGGCCTACCTTTCTACTTCTTATGAAACTTGCAGAGCACCAAAGTTTTTAATGTTGATGAAGTTACCTGTATTTTTGTTCATTATGCTTTTGATGTCATATCAAAGAAACCATTGCCTAATCTCAAGTCATGAAGATTTATACCTCTGTTTTCTTCCAAGAGTTTTACAGTTTTAGTGCTTGTGTTAAGGTCTTTGGTTCCTTTTGAGTCAATTTTTGTATGAGATGTATGAAGTAAGTGGCCAGATTCATTCTATCTAGTACCGGTTGTGGAAATGACTGTTTTTTCTTCATTGCATGATCTTGGCACCTTGCCTTTGTTGAAAATCAATTGACCATGGATGTATTTCTGGCCTCGCTCCAGTGCCATACTGTATTGATTACTGTAGTTTTATAGTAGATTTTGTGATTCAGAAGTGTGAGTCCTTTGATTTTGCTCCCTTTTTCAAGATTGTTTTAACTATTCTAGAACACTTGCTATTCCATGTGAATAGGAACAGCTTATCTGTTTCTGTAAAAAAAAAAAGCAGCTGAGGGGCCAGGAGGTGGCATAGTGGTTAACTGTGGAAAACTGAGATTCAAGTCCCAGACCTGGTGACTTGAAACTCAATACCAGGCACCTGGCATGCGTGTTCAAAATCCCCAGAGGAGAATGAACCAAAAGAAATTGTGGTGTGGCCATTTCCCTTGGGTGATTATTTCTCACTTTCTATCTCTGTCTCTGTTTCTCTGGCATACACACATACCCTATAACAAAAATCAATCTCTCTCTCAAAATAAAGAGGCAGTTGAAATTTTGATAGCGATTGTATTTGAATTAGTTGATAGATTTAGGGAATTCTGTCATTTTAGCAATATTATGTCTTATAGTCCATGATCATAGGATGATTTTCCTTCTATTTAAATTTTTAGTTTTGGGGTTTTTAAAAATTTTTTGCTATGGGGAACCAGCAGTTAGCATAATAGCTATGTCGCCGAACTCCCATGTAGTCGACCACATTTCGAGTCCCAGACCTGGGGGCTTATACTCATGCCGGGCACATGTGCATGTGTGCCCAAGATCCTGAGAGGAGAATGGAGGAGAAGGGATTGCGGCGTGGCCATCACCCCAGGGGGTGATTTCTTGCTTTCTGTCTCTCTGGTGAGTGCATGCGCCCTGTAGCAAAAACCTCTCAAAAAAATTATTTTTGTAGGACACATGTACTCACTAGAGAGACAGAGTGAGAGAGAGAATGAGAAAGTAGCCCCCAGGGAGGATGGACATGCCACAGTCCCCTCTCCTTTTTCCTCTTGGGATTTTGGGTTCACACGCACACAAACCCAATGTGTTTTCTTTTTTTTTTTTTTTTTTTTCTTTAGAGAGGATTTTTCTATAGGGAGCGTGAGCTCACCAGAAAGACAGAGACTGAGACAGAAAGCAAGAAATTAACCCTCCAGGGAGAATGGCCACACAACAATCCCTTCTTCTCCATTCTCCTCTTGGGATCTTGGGCACGCACGCACGCCCAGCATGAGTTTAAGCCACTGGTCTGGGATTCGAACCCTGGTCAACTACATGGGAGTCCAGTGAAATAGCCACTGCCCCAACTGCTAATCCCCCAATGTGTTTTTCTAGGTGTTGTGTCCAGGACTTGAGTTGGCCATGTGGGATCCAGCCACCTTAACCACCATGCCACCTTCTGGCCCCCCATTTATGTTTTTCAACAGTTTTCAGCACTTTTCAGAGTAAAAATTTTTTAAAAATATTTATTTAATTCCATTTGTTATTATTATCATTTTTTTAATTTGATCAGATAGAGACAGCAAGAGAAAGGGAAAGTGAGAAAGCAAGCCGACATGTTCAGGACTCTATCCGGAGTCAGCCATGTGGGAATCCAGTGCCTTTAACCACCATGCCACCTGCTGGGCCCCAGAGCATAAAAATTTCTTAAGAATTATTTTATTTCATATTTTTATTAGTTTATTTATTTGATTTTGACGAGAGAGGGACAGAAAGAGAGAGGGGGAAAGTGAAAAAGCAAGCCGCCAGGTCCAGGACTTGAACTGCGGTTGGCCATGTGGGTGTCCAGCACCCTTAACCATGCCACCTGCCGGCCCCTCAAGAGTATAAATTTTACACTTCTTTTGTTAAATATATTCTTAAGTATCTTATTGTTTTTAATACTGTTGCTATTGTTAAGTGGAATTTTTCTTAATATTTGGATTATTTATTGCAAGTTTGTTTGACTTTTTTTTTTTTTTTTTAAGAACTATTTTATTTATTTTTTAATTTGACCAGAGAGGGACAGCGTAAGAGAGAGAAAGTGAGAAAGAAAGCCACCAGGTCCAGGACTCAAAGCACTGTCTGCCATGTGGGAATCCAGCACCTTTAACCACCACACCACCCTACAATTGACTTTTGTATATTAATCTTGCATCCTAAAAGTTTGCTCAATTCGTTAATTAGTTCTAAGGTTTTATAGTAAATGTCTGTGTACAAGATTATGGCCATGGTTGGCCATGTGGGAGTCCAGCACCTTTAACCACCATGCCACCTGCTGGCCCCAATTTTTTTTTAAAGAATTATTTTATTTAACTTTATGTATGTATGTATTTTAATTTGATCAGAGAGTGATAGAGTGAGAGAGAAAGAGGAAGTGAGAAAGCATGCCACCAGGTCCAGGACTTGAACTACAGTCAGCCATGTGGGAGACCAGCACCCTTAATCACCAGGCCACCTGCTGGTCCTGGAATGATTGATTATTAACCCCCTTTCCAGCCCTTACCCTTTGCAGAGAATGGGGCTGAAGCTCCATACTTCTAATTATGGTTTGCTCTTTCTGGTTACCAGGCCCCATCCAGGAGCCCAACAAGAGTCACTGCATTAGAACAGTAGACACTCCTGTTGCCCAGGGAAAGTAGGAGATCTACTCAGGAACCAGGGTCAGAGACCAAATGTTGGAACAAAAGGTTCTCTTGCTCAGGGAATTACAAGGGTTTGGGGAGCTCTGCGCAGCAACTGGGGCCAAGACCAGAGTACATACTTACTACAGGTCACAGTGTCATGGCGTGTGTTGGGTTTTGTCTGTTGAGATGGCGAGGGTCAGGTTCTGCATGTGAAAGGAGGGAGAACTTCTGTGCTGGCCAGTGAGTGGGGGAGAAGGCCTGCCTCTAGACTTCATCTTCTTCAGGGGACATCTCCTCACAATGGCCTTTATGAGCATGAGATAGGCCTAAGGCCTTCACCTTGCTGGTCTTCATAACACCTGGAGTCAGGCTGGAGGGAGAGGAAATGGAAAGAGAACCGAGAATCTGTCTGAGCACTCCCTGCTTCCCAGGAGGGAGGCAGGTTGTCTGTAGGGCTGGGCTGGACCTGGGTTCCCTGAACTTGGCAGGCAGCAGGGAGAGGGCACGGCTGTGGAGATGGGCGAGCAGCCCCAGAGGCATGAAGCATGTGTGGTCGAATCCTCTGGTGGGGACAGGGAGAGGATCCCGGGGCTTACCTTGCGTGCCTCACTCCCGGTGCAGAAGTTGCTTCAGCTCCCCTGATGTGTGCTCACGCACACCCTCTTCCTTCACATCCTCTCTTGCCCTTCCTTTCTCTCTTTCCTAGGTTTCTGTGGGAGCAGCAGCTAAAAAGAATGAGAAAGGTACAGAGGCTGATGCTGGTGGCACAGTCGGGTTTTCATAGACGTGTGTGTCTCTGTGTGTGTGCACGTGCACGCATGTGCACAAGCGTGTGTGCGAGTAACTCGGAGCCAGGCCGCTGTTGCCCAGAGAGGTAAGCCAGGAGCAAGAAGTGGAGAACCTCCAGGTGTCCGTGGGAGCATGGGTTTCAGTCCAGCTGGCCGGCCTCTGCCTTCCTCTGAATGTCTCAGCTGCAGCTCCCCCTGGGCGTGGACTTGCTGTTCTGTGGTACAGCTGTTAACTCCTTCTCTCTCAGGAGCCCGCCACTTGCCTCTTCTCGTTCTCATGTGTCAGCCCTAGTACATCAGCATGTGTCATTTCCCTTTTCTAATTGCAGCTTCATGGTTTTAAGTGATGATTTCCAGTGTTAAGTTTTGGTGGCTGCTAGTTTTATACATGGAATACTGCGAGAATGGGCTTTCACGGTCGGTGGCTGGGTAAAAAGCGGGCTCCGCACCTAGGAGGCTCTGTTCAGAAACGTCAGGTGGCATGTCCCACGTGCACCCTGAGGGGCAGTTAGCCCTGTGCAGTGGAGCTTCCTGTGGCAGTGGTGATCCCCCAGAGCTGTGCTCCCGCATACCGCAGAGACAGGTATGGCCCTAAGCACTTGAGCTGCGGCTGGTGGGATGGGGAAGTGAGTGGCTTATCCAGCTAAAATCTGTATGGCCTTGTGTGCTGGTGGGAGGGCAGTGGGAGCACCCTCTCCCCTACCAGTGGCTTGCCCGCCTCCACCCGGCACTGCTGAGAAGCAGGCCTCCCTTCTTAGCTGGGGCTGTCAGCAATGGATTCTGTCACTTTCTGTTTTCAATCCTGTCTTTGTAGCCTTCCCAGTGAGGCTGGTGACCTCTCCATGTAGCAGAAGTTGGTGGCTACATGTCCAGGACAGGGATGCAGCTCCGTGTCCGGAGGGACAGGGGCTTTTGGCTGCTGGCCTCACTGCCCCAGCTACCACATGCTCTTTCCTTGGAGCTGGGAGCAAGGAAGCAGCTTCACAGGCCGACCGCGTCCTGGCATCTCAGTGTTTCGAACGCTCGTCACAGTGACCCAGGGGCCTGCCTGCCCTGTGAAGAGGGGCGGGTGCTTGGGAGTTTTCCACCATCTTCTCAGGAGTCCTGTCGTATCCACAATGTGTCTTTATATCCAGGAGAGGCGTTCTTTGAAGGACTTTCTTTCTAATCAACAGAAATAAGTCCCTGCTCTCTGTGGAGGGAGGAGCAGTTGGGCATCTTCATCTCTGCCTTGCTGTCAGCCTCCCAACCTGTAAAGGATTGTTGATGGCTCTGGGAAAACTTTTATTACAGGGACATCTCCATGGAAACAGAATCTTTTTTGATGAGGACCTGTGGCTCCGCAGCTCCCCACACCCCATGTTGATCCTGTGTGGCCAACACCTAGCTGGCTGTTAGGGCCACCTCTTCTGTACCAGGCACAGGGTTGGACTCTGGCTGGGGTGTATAATAAGAGCCTGGCTCTGGTGATTTGAAAAGCGCATATTTAATGCAGTGAGCCACAACAATTAAGACAGAAAGAAAGGCCGTGGCAGCTCATTAGGAATCCCACTGTGCATAGGGAATCTTGCCTGGAGGGGAATTTCCTTTTACTCCTGTGAAGAAACACAGCTGGGAATTCACTCTCCCTGCCTCCCTGGCAGCACATTTAAAGCTGCTCTCTCTGCGTCAGACTTTGATCTTGCTGTGGAGGGTCAAAGCCCTGGATGGGTCATTATGAAACCCGGTGGTCCTGTGCCTCCCTGGAGGGGGGCAACTCTTTGTATCCCAGAAGCTTGTTTGCTGCCTTTCTTACACCCCAGAGGCCTGAGCCCCGCCCTCCTGTGCCCCAGCCCTGCAGCAGGCCAGTGGAAGGATAGCAGTGCTGAGGTCGGCTGTGGGTGAGCTGGGGGCAGTGTCTGGCAGAGCCAGAGGCCATTAGACCCCTCTGTCTCTCTGTGTGGGTGCATGTGGGGGTCTGAAGCTCATCACGCTCCTTAGGAGGATCTCCACAAATTGACCCTGCCTTCGATGCTTAGAGAAAAAGGAAGAGGTGTTCTCTTCCAGGGATGGAAACACTTCACTGTCTGTCTGCAGCCGTCTTGTCCAGGCCACCTCGTGAGTCTCTCCCTGCTTAGGCGAAGGTCCCGCAAGCTATTTACTTCAGTTCCACATCAGGAAGCACTGACTGGGCCCCCTGGACAGTACAGGGCAGTGTGGGGCCTGCAAGAAAACAAAGTGGGAGACTGACTGGGGGGGGGGGGGGGGT